ATCAGTTAACTTGAGTTATTTGTTACCAATTAAAACAAAGCATCCATAAGATCATTCAGCAATCATCAATTAAAGCATTTTAAGAAATAAGAGCATTTCTGTGAGAATTGCATTTTGAGATATTCGATTTCAAAAAGTTTATTTTATTAATAAAATCATAACACTACTATCATTTTCGCAGCAATGTTAAATAAAATTTATTGTTAGTAAAATTATGTCATTAAATTTTTGGTACCAATATAAAATGGATAATATAATGGAAAATTTGAAGCACCTAAAACAGCTGTTATTGCAAAAAAATACATTGCTTGATATCAAAAGGCATATAGTCTAATGTCAATAATTATATTATCTTTTTCTTAAATGGAATCATATAATTTTTGCATTAAATCCATCTCAGCATTCTTAACGAAAACGTATTAATCTATTTATAGCGAAAAGCAAAACTGAACACACATATGCAATTTTAACATAAATAACAATATTTTATTAAATATTTGCATATAGAATACAAAAAAAAGCAAAATGTATAATGTTTTATAGGATACTTTAATTTTTCAAAAAAGATTTTATGATCATGTTCTGAAATGGTTTTTATGGAGTCAGTTTTATACTAATTTTAATGGAAAATTTGACGCTTCAAATTATTATAACTTCATTTTAGAAAATTTTCATTATAAATCTACTTGGTCTCATTTTAAAGCGTGAAGCTTCTACTTTGATTGCTCTGAATTCATTATTTTCAAAGATATTCTAATATCATCTAACAAATAGAAAAGTGTTTTCTTTTACAAAAATTCAAGTGACTGTAAAAATATTTTTTTGTAATTTTTCTAATCTACCATGGTCTTGAAAGTTTCCCTTTTCAACAATCTCTTAAAACTTGCCGTATAATTTTTTGAAACTTTTAACATTAGGATTAAATGACAGAATATTGGAATTTTTTGAATTTTTGTAAAATTCAAAATCGTTGTTTAATTCTAGTGGTCAAAATTCAATAAATTATATATACAGAGTGAGTCTCGTAACGTGACGACATCAAATAACTTATAAAATATTTGTTGTACAAAAAAATGTTCAGATAAAAGTTGCATAGCTTCCAGGAGGACATATAGTACTGTAATCAGTTTTATATTATTTTGCTTTTTTATCGAGATATGAAGATTACCTTCAATTTTTTAAATGGAATAGTTAATGTTTTTTCCGAATTCAGATAAAGCGTTGAATTCTACATAAAAAAGTACAAGTAACATCAAATAGCATCTAAAATACATAGTTATTGAGATTAAGGGTCTTTCCTAATACAATGTAAAAAAATATTTTTGCTAATTAAAATTACTAGAAATGTGTTTAAGCGTCTACGATTTGTAATTGAAGTTCAGGGCTACCCAACAAAATATTAATTATTGTTTATGTTAAAAATTTTCAGGTAATTATTGTTTATGTTAGTAATTTTCAAATATCATAGTTCTTCAAATATCCAAATATTATATTATTGCCACGCTACATTTCGACATAATTCAGTTTATTATTTGATATTAAGAAAAATATGTGCAATAAATAAATAAAATTTGTTACTATAAACTGTAATGAATGTTCTAATATATTATTAAAAAATTAATCCAAACTTACTATTATAAACAATTGAAATCCACAACAATATTTTGAATAGCATGATGTCCGAATATTAGTAAAAGTCACTGTATATAATATATATAACTATATATAATTATTTAATAATAATAATAATAATAATAATAATAATAATGATAATAATAATAATAATAATAATAATAATAATAATGATAATAATAATAATAATAATAATAATAAAATAATATAATAATAATAATAATAATATATAAATTGTTTTCTTCACTGTAACTATTAAAGTTAAAGAAAGATAGAGAAAATAATTTGTATTGCCTGCTGAGAAACAAAATAGGAATTAATTTTCATAGTGAAAAAACCGGCAGACTGTGAAAAACAACTGCCTCTGATTCGAATTAGGCCCGATACAGACGAACAATCTGAAGGCGGCGATGTTTTGGAAGAACAGACACAAAGTTCTTTTGTTTCATAAAAAGAAGTACAAAAAAATATCATTTCTCTGTTCTTTCAAAAGAAGGCAATGATTTGCAGCAAATCGCTCGTCTGCATCGGGTCTAACGTTAATTACTAATTGCTTGTCCTTTTATAATAAAATATAATAAATTTCATAAAATTGAAAGATCTATCTTTCAAAAAAATGAATTCTCGAAACCAAGATTTTATATCTTTGGAGTTTTACATCCCTCAACGTCCTTCAAATTTCATTTCGATCGGTGGCTATTCAAATTAAATAAATATATGATTGCCAATAGCCAATAGCCAATCAAAATAATTTTAAGAAATAATTTAGTTAGTTAAAAATTATTTTTAAAAACAATGAAGTATAAGTTATTATATGTTGAAAATATCTATTAATATCAAAAAACACAAATAGAGTTCTTTCTGATGTGTACATATATGTACATGGATACATAATATAAAATGGAGGCACAGACGAGATATACAGTGAGCAACGAAAGTATTCGAACGGCATAATAGAAAATTGATTATACAAAAATTGTATAATAAATTGCAATTTATTGAAACAAATTGTTTTCATACTATTGTATATACATTTGCTAAATGTATGCAAAGTGAGGGAAAAATTAAACAATAAGTAAACAAGTTACATAACATTTTTCACGGAGAAGTACATATAGGGCATAACAAAAGTATTCGAACGCTGAATTATAAACACTATACATTGTAAACACAAGACTGTCGCAAGGTCTAAATGTAAACAAAAGATCTTCAGTGTATTTCTAACAGTATTTGAGAGCAAACGAAACCGAAAGTTAAACGTTAACCTGTAATTCAAAAATAACGAGTGGTAAAACATCAGAGACAAGTAAACCCGAACGAGAAATTATTGTTAAATTGCACAAAGAAGGTAAATCACATAAAGAAATTGCTTTTCTTGTAAGCAGAAGCAAATCAACAATTCGTTATATAATAAAAAAGTATAATACGAACGGAAATATTGCAAATGAACAAAGATCTGGGCGTCCAAAAAAATTAGCACCACGAGGAGAAAAATTGCTTCTGCGTGAAATAAAGAAAGATCCGTTTATATCTGCTCCAAAATTAGCAACAATGGCTGTTACAAACTTTTATACACGCCCAATTATGTCGAAGAATGTTATGGAAAAACAATTTCCATGATAGAGTCCCACGAGAGAAACCGTACATTAGCAAAAAGAATAAATTACTTCGTTTAAAATTTGCCAAAGAGTATATAAATAAGGATATAAATTTTTGGAACACTGTTATTTTTTATGAAAGTAAATTCAATTTATTTGGGTCCGATGGTAAGAGAATAGTACGGAGAAAGCCAAATAAGGGGTTGGATTCAAAAAATTTGAAATCTACAGTGAACTGTCATGGTGGAGGCTCCGTAATGGTATGGGGCTGCATGTCCGCTAATGGGCCTGGAAATTTCGTATTCACCGATGGAATCATAGACAAAACTAAATATTTAAATATTCTAAAAGAAAATTTAATCAATGATGCCGAACAATTAAATGTGTCAAAAAATTTTTGCTTTCAGCAGGACTGAGACCCTAAACATACGGCCAAAATAATACAAGAATGGATCTTAGATAATGTATCCTATACATTACCCAGACCACCACAGAGCCCTGGCTTAAATCCCATCGAACATTTATGGGAAGAACTCGATAGGAGACTTAAAAGAAATAATAATAACGAGTAAAGATTCTTTAAAACAAAATATCCTAGCAGCGTGGCACTCTATGGATTCAAGTGTTACCAAAAAGTTAGTCAATAATATAGAAAATCGTCTTCGAGAGGTTATTAAAGCCAAGGGTGGCTCAATTAGATATTAAAATGCAATATAATCACATATATTGCATTCTATCAGGGCTATTAAAATTGCGTCCGAATACTTTTGTTATACTTATATGTACTTATCCGTGAAAAATGTTATGTAATTTGTTTACTTATGGTTTAATTTTTCTCTAACTTTGCATACATTTAGCAAATGTATGCAATAGTATAAAAACAATTTGTTTCAGTAAATTGCAATTTATTATACAATTTTTGTATAATAAATTATTTTCTATCATGCCATTCGAATACTTTCGTTGCTCACGGTATGTATTTATACTTCGTCTATGTTTGGAGATATACAATTGACTAACGGATATCATTTATCTTAACCAACCTGTGTTTTTGTTTGACGTAGTTCTCCAATTTACTGTTTAAGAGTAGAGTGCGCTAATAAATCAGTGATATTTTTCTTTGTCGTTATTTCAGACCCTGAAACACGAAATCCCATTTAATATCCGGTCACAGACACGGTTTATAATATATTTCGTCTGTGGTTCGGTCTATCCTATTCTTAGTCAATAGTATGAGACAAGAACAATAACAATGATCAGTTTCACCGCTATGTAGTGATAGTGATTCGGTACACATAAAACAGCCAAATTTTCATTCGTAGGAAAAAATTAATTAAAAGAATTAATTTGTAAAATGTTATAATTAACTTTAGTTTAATTTTCTTCTTATATTTGACTTATAAAATATATGTATAAAAATTTACAAATCGTACTAAATGGATCGAAGCACTTACTCACTCGAATGATTTTTAATTTTTCAGTTTGGATCGCGATTATTTACAACCATAGAAATACATAAAAAATGAGTTTTAAACACAGTTTTATTTAATCGATTAGTTACACATGCCATTATTGTACAGAACTGATTCGATAGACTCATGCTCGATCTACATTATACTAAATTAATCTGCATTTTTTTTTTTTGCATACAATATGAAGATTTTATTACATGAAATCTAATTTGAGCTTAAAATTTCCAATACTTAAAAACGGATATAATCAAACAAAAATATATCTAAAAAGGCGGGTATAATCAAACAAAAATATATCTAAAAAGAACTAAATTTCTTTTATTATACAAAAAATCAATAGTTTGTACAAAAAGGTGTACTTATGTTCTAAGCTGTTCGTAATTACACAAACATTTATTATACAATCATTCTCTAGAACTGAATAAGCAGATATCGAACTCGTAACTTTAATTAATTTCGAACATACAGCATTCATTATAACGTACACCAATCAGTAATTCATTTTTTCCTAACCACGCATATTGTTCGCAAAATTGTAACAATTATAAACAAACATTCCATTACAATTTCTACATTATGTAAATTACAAAACCTATTTAACAATATATATATATATATATATATTATGCATATTGTAATTTTATTAAAAAAGAACCGAAAAGTAGCACATCCCCCGAAATAGGAAAAAATAGTCAAGTTGTAAATTAATATGGACATGTTCGATTTCGACGAACTGGAATAAGAAAAACGTAGTTCCTTCTTAGTTCAAATAACAAGATCAGTTTCATCTTTTTAGTTATCCCGACAAATCCAGATCCCACCACCATTTGTACTTGTATTTTTTTCACAAATCATGAATACAAAAGTTAGAGATTCTCTATTAACAATCCGAGTAATAAGAAAAAATATTAAAACTAATAAAATAATTGCACAGATTTACTAAATTGTTTTAGGATTACGATGATTGAGCTGCCAGCATTTCTTCTTGCTGTATTTTTCTGCGGTAGTTGTCCAAGGTAACTTGTATAGTCTTCTCAGAATATCGGCAGTTTTCGGCTCCACAGGTACATGTGAATGACTTGCATTTTATTATCCAGAATTTCTCTCCATAATCAAAGCTGAAGGCAAACAATTCTGCATTGATCTTCAATATATTACATTAACTGTTTTTATAGTAGACTGATAATACTTTCTACTACTTACTATTTTTGAATACTACTACCAATTCCGAAACTTACCATCTTCAAAATTAGTGAGAGAAAAGGAAAATAAAATAATAAATATTATACTTAATATATCAGTTTATCTATTATAAGAAGTAGAAACAATATTAAGGTTCACATATTTCCAAAGAACGAAGCAAAATTTTAAGAAAGAATAAAGCGAAGAAATTAAAATTACCGCTGATAACGATTAGCCAAAATCAAAATCGGAAGTGGTTTATTAAACAAAAGAAATAGCTTGAAACATCATTTGCTAATATATACATGTATCGTAATTTCCACGTGCCAATCGTTATTTTTTAACATACCCGAGCTCTTCATCTGCCTCGATGTCGCGATTCGCAAAAAATGCTATTCTAGGAAAATGCAGATCTTGATGTTCAACAAACACTCGTACTGGCAAGAGATTGGGCGCGCAAGAATGATTTATAAAACGAGCAATGTTTCCATAGCGTCTCGCATCGATACAATATGTTTCTCCATCCTATATGCGTACAAAATTTAATCGTGAATTAAAGTATTCGATTTATATTGTACAAATACAAAATATTCGATATTTACTCTATTGTCCAAGTCAAATAAATAAGAATCATCTTCTCGATGATCTGCTTCAGAGTCTGAAATAATCTCACCAACATATTCACATACGTAGGAACCTTTCGGAATGTACCGTAACGTTTTAAGTCCCCATCCTTTACCGTCCGTTCGAAATAATTGAAATCTTTGTGTTAGACCATACTGAACAACGCGATTATTACACGTTATACGATTACAATCACACGCTGGATTGCATTCAAATAACATTGGGGGGTCTAGATAAAGAATAAAACATCTAAACATGTTACAAATATAAAAATTAAGAAGTGTAATTAACATACCTGCATAATTAAATTCAGGAATTAATTTTCCTTCTTCGTCATACCAACATCTTAAACTTATGTTTCCGCATAAACATTTCTCTGAACTACAATTATCTTCACATCGACAAGATTGTAAGGACGTTATCGTGCGATCAACGTTTATACTACTAGTAAAACAATTTTCAGTTACGTAGAGAAAATCTGTTGGTTTATCTTCTGAATCGTACCCATTCACACACTGTATTGGATTCGTCTCTTTACCACGTGAAATATCACTATAGAAAGAAATCATTAAAGACACGTCATTAATATTTTTCTATTGAAAATAAAAATATATTCATTCTAATAATTACTTGGTTAATATTTTGATTGTTTTTTCCCACATATGTTCAGAAAGTTCATTAACTTTGGCATTTAATCTTAAAGCAGACATAGTATCACCATCATTTGTACAGCAATTTACTGCTGTTTCTCCTGCAGCATTAAGTTCTCCTATTTTAGCACCGCGAGCTAATAAAAGAACGCTAACTGCGTACTGATCTTGTCTTGCAGCTATATGTCTGCAACATCATTAAATATTACACAAAAATTTAATTATTTTAATTACACAATTATTAAAAGACTTACAAAGGTGTATCCCCATGGACGTTGACAGCGTTCACGTCACATCCTTCATTAAGTAGCATTTCTGTGATTTCTGAACTTCCACTGAAAGCACTCCAATGTAACGCTATATTTTGTTCTGCATCTCGAATTAATGGATCACACTTTTTATCCAACAAAAATCGTGCAACATCGGTATGACAAAACTCACAAGCCCAAATTAAACTAGTCCATCCACCATCATCCACTGAATCTAATAGAACATAAGTAATTATTGTTATGTTAATATTAAATCAATTCAAACAATATAATATTACTTTAATAAAAATTTAATTACCTACTAATGTTCTTGGTGCTTTGCATTCTGTTAATATTATTTTACAGACTTCTAAATGACCAGATTTGGCAGCCATGTGCAAAGCAGTCATACCATCTTCTCCTTTCAATGTAACATCAGCACCTATCTTTATCAAATATTTTACCACATCAGCTTTACCCTTATTAGCAGCTAACATTAAAGGTGTTAATTGATTTCTGTCCATCACGTCTAATTGAGCGCCACCTTGTACCAGTACATGTACACAAGACAAATGACCTTTATCCGCGGCTATATGAAGGCCAGTCCGATGAGCATAATCTCGGAATGTATGATTTGCATTATATCCGCATGCTAACACAATAGAATAATATACATGTCATTTCTCATAATTTCAAAGCAAAAATGATATAGTAACGCACCTAAAACATTAACTAGCTTTTCCAAATCTCCATTCTTTACAGATGTGTAAAGACTCATGATAGTATAACGTTCTGGTCTCTCAGAATTAATAGATGGCTCAGGTATTTTAATGATATCTGGTTGAATCAGAGGACTTGGAGGACGTTCTGCTAACTTTGTGTTATCACCTTTACCTGGTAAACTCATCTTTGCAGAAGGCAGTTTTGAAAATTTCTTTCGAGTTGGAATGAATACAGGTTTTCTTAAACCACTCATAGTCACCATTACATCGTATGCTGTAGTTTCATTTCCACAATGTGGACATACACCCTTTTTATTTGGATAAATTTCACATTCACGATGATATTGATGACCATTAATACATTGTACAAATCTTCCATGTGAACAAAACAGCCCACAAGAAGGACAACAATTATGCCTTAAAAGCCTTTCTTTGTGTACTCGACATAAGATAATAAAAGGAACACGTGTACTCGGTCTCCTCATTGCTACATCATTACTATCAACTTCATTACAACATCCTATCAATCGATTATCGATAGAATCTATTGCAGTACAATATAATGGTGCTCCAGAGCCAGTTATTGTTACATATAGTTGAGACCTTACTTGACATAAACACAACATTGCTTGACCATATGTCTGAAAAATATAGCGAAAAATATTATGAAATGTCTTAAATAAAAAAATATTAATTATACTATATGATTATACCAACTTCGCTCATAACTGCTGTTGATTCTGGCTTTGAGGCCTGTCCTTCTGCAGGACTTGGACTTGGAGCCATACTTCTCCTTGTTCTTTTAACAGGTACTGTGCTTTCTGCAATTATACGTATACTTATGTATGAAATTAATACTATAAATATATATATACTTTTTGTAATAATATAACAAATATAATAATAATTTTGTAATAATATAATAACATAACTTATATTAATAAATTTTAAAATATTACCTTCAGGATAATCATTGTTTTTGCCTGTTTCTGCTACTGATACAGATCCATCTAAAATATAAAAATATTATACTATAAAAAATATAACAGAAATATACATCTTATATTTCTTTTTATACCTTCAAATGAATCTGCTTTAGCAATTTTTCTTGCAGCTTGACTTCCTCTAGGCCTTCCTCTTTCTCGTTTAGGTCTACCAGTAGCAGGTTTTAGAAATGGCTTTTCCATATCCATTAGAGATATGTCATCATTTGAGGAATTTCCAATTGAGTTTCCTAGTTTTGTCTGTGACTCTGAACTTTTTATCATAGGAGACAATTTTGGCATACCATCAAAATCAGATGAAAAATTTTGTGATTCATCCAGTATTGTTTCATTTGTATTGTTTTCTGATACGGTAGAATTTCTAGAGTATTCTAATGAATTTACCTCAGAAATAGTAATATTTCCATCTAAAATGGAGGATTCTAATTCCTGACGTATATCAGGAGGTTTAGTTTGCAACTGTTTATTTTGATCTTTTCCTTGTATCACTTTCTTAGGTCTTCCTGGTTTATTATATTTCCTTTGTTTCTTAAATTGCAAATTTTCTTCTGTATAATTAGATTTCTCTTTTCTTGCCATTGCATTTTCTAATACAGTACTCTTCCATGTTTCTTTACATAATCTTCTAGCCGAACGTTTAGGACCTGGAGGTTCTTCAGTGTGATCACTAAAAATTTTATGGAATGTTTACAAATATCATGCATAATATTTTACATTTAAAATGAAAGAAAATAAAAAACCTAAGTGCTCTTAATCTAGGTCGTCCTGTCCTTCTTTTCCTCGTAACTGGAACTATGCTATCTGCTTGATCCATTTGTTCTATAGATTCTGTTGAAGTATCTGGTTCATCAGTCTTTGTTTTTTCATTAGGAATAGTATTTTTGTTTTCTGTTATAACGTTGACATCTTCCTTTGGTGATTTTGACTCTTGTGTACTTTCTTCTGATTCCTTATTTTTAGATTCTTTAACTGGTTCTTCTATTCTACCTTCTTCTGAATCTGATTTCTCGATAGTGTCAGAGTTTTCATCTGAGTTCTCAATCTTGACAGAAACACCGCTAATTTGGTCACAATTTGCCAATTCATCAGGAACTAAAGTGAGGTTGGAAGAGCAACTCGATATTTTGGTTTTTTTTCCATGATCGGTATTTTCGTCGATTGTTCTGAATGTAAGAACAATACGCGGAATTCCACTATCTTTTTTCACAGTTTCCTGTTTTCCAATACTTTCATCTTCTTTATGATTTTCATCCGTAGATATTGATTCCGTAGTATTTTGTTTTGTTAGAATATCTTCTGCATCCTTATCACTTACATTTTCTTTCTCAACTGATGGCATTTCGTCAAGAGGCGGTACCGGTTTTTCAATTTCCTTGTATTCTGACTTTTCTGATCGATTAATTTCTGCATTTTTTACGGGACTCACACTTTTGTTAAATTCATTCGTCATACCCTCGAGGATCTGTTGGATACTGACCTTATCTCCGACCTTTTCGGTAGTCATATCATCCTCTTCGCCCCCTTCTTGACAACCCTCCATCGTAGCATCTTCCTTGCTCTTATTCTCCGACATAATAATAGATTTTAACTGGAAACTATGAATTCTTACACTTAAAACGCCACCTCATCATAAAATTCAATGGCCAATAAATTAATCGCTAAACGCCGAACGACTATCGAATTGTACTATAACGTCTTCTGCAAAGTACAAATAGCTATAACGGTAGAATGCCTTCTAAATTTCTTTCTGACTGAATACTATCACTGATATAACAGTAAACACCATGAAAATACTTCTCCATACACCTTTTAACAGCTTGACTAATTATATTATCACAGAAATTATTTGTTCTAAAGATTTTTTGAGAAATATCTACACTACGCTAGCGTGCCCCGCGTAGACCTGGAGGCCATATTGATTACTCAGGGACGGGCCGATTCTAGTGAAGAATTTATTTTTAAAATGATCTTCGACAAGCCCTTTTCGTACAAAATATACTCTCTCTTAGCTTTCAAAAATTATATAATATTTTCTATATATTATATTGCTTGCAAATAATATTAATGTATATAAATTACACGAAAAATTTATAATATGCATAACTATATAATATACGATCATAAGTTTATACACTTACACATTGAAAACAAAAAAGATAACGAATTCTTTACTAATTCATTACTTTATTAGTTCGAAAAAATATTTTGCAATAATTTTACTTTTTATTTTACTAATTTATTTTTCATATGATTAAAAATGGACTTAATTGTACTTCAAATCTGAAAATTAGTCCATTATTTTTGATTTTATATAACATTTCAGCTTAATAATTTTAAAAAATCTCATTGCTGCCGTTTCTACACGTTAATCTACATAGAAAAAATAAAACTAATGTAGTATCATTTTATTACTGACGAACTATAAATTAAGATTCCTGATAAAGAATTTTAATATAATTACTAATATTCACAATAAAATAAAAAGTGAAATTATTGTAACTAAATCAAATTATAATATAATAATGGCATCGCGCATGAGCGCATGACAAAAAGAAATTGCTTAACGTTACGTGGCAGTACACGATAAAAATACATTGTAACTAATAAATGGCAGCGTCAATGCGAGATAGTTTGTTAATGAATTAATCATAAGCTATGCTGATATTTAATGCAGGGTAAATGAAACAAATCAATAGTATCGTATAAATATAAGTTTATTTACATTGCAACAGATCCTTTTGTCAAATAAGCGACAAAGGTGATTACGAGTGAGACTGAACAAAATTAATGAATAAATGTTAATTAAAAATAATAATTACAACGTACTAGCCCAAACACGCCTCTTATTTTAAATAATATACATTTGTTGAATCTCGTAGAATTTAAGAGACGTGAATATTTTGCTTTCCTTACGGAATTTTCATTAATATTTTTTATAATTTGGTTTTCATTCAATCGATCCAGTGATTGCTGTACGCATTTAGTATTATTTTACAAACGATAACGAAATGAGAAAAATATCGCCATTACTAAGTCGAGTTGCAGAAATACTGCAAGGCCGTCCAAGGAAGAGAGAACTGCTCTACAAGTTTGGTTTCACATACTCTCGTTTGTCTCTCGATAAGAAAAGAAGCGTAAACGAAGAATGATAGGAACGGTTTACGCGTTCAGTACGATGCCGCATCTCCTAATAAAGATTTTCTTTTATCTTTTAGTTTTTTATTTTTTCTAATTTTTTTATTTTATTTTTGTCACTTTTTTTTAGAAAAACGTCGAACATACTACATTTATTTATATCTTTACAAGCAATATAAAAAGTTGAGCATCATATTGCATCAGTGATTGCATCCTATATAAATACACGTCGATAAGAGAGTTATTGACAAAGTAGTTCAACGCGATACGTTACAGCCACGAAAATCGTGCAAAAATGAATCCCAAAGACCATCCTCTCAAATTTAGAAGTCTAATTTTTCTTTTCGTGCTTCCGAACAATATTGTGTTCGATAATAACATCATACATAGTACGCATCCAAGTCTTTTTTTTAAAATACGTACATCAGAATTCACAATATCACTGAGTATTACAAACAATTATTTTTTGGTTTAGAAACTGTTTTAAAGTACAGTATGCACAAATCACTTATGTGCACAACCATCGTCGATTATAACACCATACATGTGATTAATTCAATTATTTTTATCGCATATGGCACCAACAAGAAATATGATTTAATCGTAACGGTGGGTTATGGAGGCGGAGGTCTCCTCTGAGGTTCGGGAGTGTAACGTAGTCGAGCTCGTACATGTTGAGGGCTACCAGGCACAGAATTGCTTTCCGACAATCTTCTTGGGGGAGGTTGAGGTGGAGAAGATGAAACATACCTTGAAGAGAATATATATTAGATTAAAAAATTGTAAAAAAAACTATATTTTATGTGTAATTAAAGCCAATAAAAGTAATACCTTCGTGCGAAAGAAGGAGAAGCTTGATCTATTAAATTTCTTCTAAGGGCAAGAGGAGATTCACCGCGACTTAATCTCGGCGGTGGTTCCGGTGAAGGAGCACGTTCGCTTCCAAGCCTAAGACGGACATAAGAAGCAAAACGCTTCTTAGCAGATTCTTTAGATCCACCCTGGACAGCTGGCATAACAGGTGAAGGATCTTGCTTCAATTGATGAGCAAAACGAGAAATTAACAATTCAGGGCTAGTTGAACCATGAGATCCTTGCGGAGGAGGTTCAGAAGGAAACCTGTAATAAGAAAAATGAACATAAATAATAATTACGTTATTAATCGTATCATAATAAATTAAAAAACTTGTCGTTACTTACCTTTTACGACTAATCATAGGACTACCATAAATATCTTGCGTTTGCGAATGAGTTTGAGGCACAGATGGAGTTTGTCCTAATCGTTGTTGAAGAAATGGAGAATAGCGCCCACTTTCGGTTGCTTGTATTACATTTGGAGGATCAACGTTTTCTCTTCTCCAAGGTGAATAATCACGAGCAAATGGACTTAAAGATCTAGAGACACCTTGCCATCTTTCTTTGCTGGTGTCTCGATCTTCCGTGAAGCGTCCATGATATGGCGAATAAAGCCTATTTCCTGAATCTATCGTGCTAGTATCCTGTCGGTAAGGAGAGAACGGTCTTCCTTCTTGCCTACCTTGTCCATTAAGAGAACAATGATTCGAAGAATAATCCCTATTTTGATCAACACGTTGTCTATATGGTGAATACGGTCGTTGAAAATTCGTTTCTGATGTATCCATATCATTGGACGAAGGAGGAGAAAACGGCCTAGAAATTTCCTTTCGTCTAAGTGCATATGGACTATAAGATACATAGTTCGCACCATTCTCACTATTTGATCGTTGATGAAATGGCAAAAAGCTGGAATTCTGCGAGTCTTTGGTAACATTGCTTCGTAGGAAAGCTGGTACTTCGGACTGAGCCCTCAGATGAGCTGTTTGTTTTAAAGATACATGACCCGTAACTCGTTGCTGCCACCCTGGCAATCTGAAACTGAATTTCATAATATTAAATTATAGTATTATATGATACAGAAAAAGAAATACTGATCCCCGAAAGTAGACTGAATCGTATAAATATGTCACTGGTATCCAAGATAATTGTATTGTTATGTTGATTCTGCAAAGAAATTGAGTTTATAGAGGGTTAATAGAAGTTAGAACGTTAATCATAGAATCATGCAACACAAATGAGGATAAAGGAATTTTTACCAAGGTAACAGGTCGTAAAGAATATCTGTGCTTAAAAACAGAAAATTCAAAATATTACATGCTAAAAACAAATAGAATGTTTAATTGATATTTTCTAATATTTAAAACAAAGATAAAAACACAAATATAACTATTTTATAATGACTGGAGTGTGCACAGGAAAAACTTATTTGTGCCACTGGCAAATCGCTACATAAACATAAAATAAATAAATGAATATTCAAATAAATAAAAACAATGCTTACCATGAGTAGGGGTTGAAGGGTGGGGTGTGTAACAGGCGCGTGCACAAACCAAACAACTCGAAATGAAAATCGGGCAGATTTTTGGATAATTGTGAGGTGTATTTTTTTTTAATTTTTTGGAGTTTATGGATAAATTTTTAAGGAAAATGGAAGAAAGGGCAGGGGCGAGGGAGAGGGGATGCTATGCTGCGCTGCCTCCCTCAAGCTCAACGCTGCAACACAATTTAACACGCACGCAAACTTTTAAAATGTATGGATAGGTTGTAAATATCGTTTGGCAATGAACAAAAGATAAATACATAAAAACTATTCAAAAATATTCAACAAAAATCCAACTTTAAAACAGCATAATTTTCGAGCCGTTTTAATACCTACCCATTAACCATGAATGCTGAAGTGTGTTAAAAATTTTTAAAATTAACATAAAAGAATAATACCCGGTTATTTTCAAACCAAACCAAATCATTATAATATTAGTTGGGAATTTCATGCCATGTTTAAAATTCTATTCATTTTCTATAGTATGATTTTTTCTAATAGCAGAGTCTACCATATTTCTTCAGTCACATGTTTTTTTTTAATCGAAAATTTCCTATTTAATAGCTGAAAACTATATTTTAATATTGACATATATTTATATATTAAGATTTTACCTTGGTTCTAATTGCTGCATAACTCTGCCAAACCATTGGCAATCAGAATTGAGAACTGAGGAGTTTGTTTCTTCATCTTGTGGTATATCATATTTTCGGATAAAAGGATGTTCCATGAGTTTATGATATTTCGGACGATGTTTATAATTTTTTGTAAGGCAACAACTCACAAAATTTCTAAATTCTTTCGAAAAAGGTGCATCTGATGGAAGGGAGGGAGGGTCATCTTGCACTACCCTGCTCAGTACCTACGAATTCATATAAATATAATAATCATTTTAAACAGTTTAAACACATTAAACAGTTGCTCAGTTTACTCAGTTTACCTCAAAATCAGTCTTACAGTCTCTGTAAGGAAATACTCCTGTAGCTAATTCAACTAAAGTGATACCCAAGCTCCAAACATCAGCTCTTATATCATAATCTGGCTTTGTTGGATCTGGAGGATCAATTCTTTCAGGCTATAAAAGTATAGTAACATGTTATAAAATAATTTCAAATTTTAGCATAACAAAAGATTAAATTAAATATACTCACAGCCATATAAGCAGCGCATCCTGCACTTCTAGTTTTTGCTTTACTATCAACTAATCTGCCAGATATACCAAAATCACATAATTTAACTCCTCCTCTTTCATCAAGAAGAATATTACTAGGTTTTACGTCTCTGTGAATTACACCATGTTTTTCTTTCAAATATGATAATGCTTTTACTGTCTGCAAAAATATAATTTTTTTAGTTAAATAATCTTGTGAATAGAATTAAATATAAGATTTATAATGTCACTTACTGCTACTGTAACTTTTCCTAAAAATTCTTCTGGCATTGCTTGCCTAGTTCTTTTTAGTAATTTATCTAAACAAGTTGCCATTAGTTCCATACAAATCCATACATCAGATTCAGTGATAAAACAACCCAAACATTGCACAATATATGGACAATCATGTGATTTCAATACCACATCAAGATCCATAATTATCCTTTTATTCTCCTCTGCATTACCAGAACGTCTCATTTGTTTAACAGCAATGAGTACTCCACTAGGTTTATGTCTCATTTTAACAACATGTCCACAGGTACCATTTCCCAATTCACCTAGATGTTCTAAGTCTTTCATTTCAGTTTGATACTTCTGACCATTAATATTTAAAATACCATTCATTTTCATAATTTCTTGTAGTTTTGATTCAAATTCACTATCTTGTTTCTTTGGAGGTATCTGTGAAACTTTCAGTGTTGGAATTGGAGCTGTATTCAAGATCAGAATTAAAAGTCATTTTTAAGCTTAACTAAATATATAAGGAGTGACATACATTCTTTAATAACAAAACAATCTTAAATATGTTTTATTAATGAAAATTAGTTCATTTAAAAACAAATAACAATTCAAAATTAAATTTAAAAAAAAAATCATTCTTATAATTATAAAGAGATTTTTCTTTAAAAGAGATGCATTGTTTTTTTTTAGACATATTGTTGTTTATCTCAAAAAAAATGTTGCGCATATAAATATTAGTTCATTAGTAGATTGAATGAAATAAACTACGCGTTAAATAGGGATACCAAAAAAGTATCGTATATAGATCAACAGAATAAATTGTGATGATCAACATAACCTGTACGGTAAGTAATGAAAGTAAAATTCAATTGTAAATTTTTAGAAAAGACGTCAAGAAAATATTTTATTATTTTCACAAATGTTATTCGAATTAAACTTACGACGTGAAGCAGAACTCGAGACAGATCCCGAAGATGATGATTGAAGGCTAGTTCCTGATCCAACCTCGCTGCTCTGTCTATCTCTGTCTCTTGATTCATTTTCTGCTCTAAGACGTTCTTGTAAATTCAGAATCTTATTCTCCAGAGTACTGGACATTGCGACGGTCTTTTGAAACACTATCAAATTCACCGCGGGACACCACCTCGCACAAAATATTTGACAATTTTCACATCACTCGTCTGCCCTTTTTGGCAGCGAACATTGCGCCGCCGGTTATACGCATTTCAGTAGAACCAACTTTCTTTACATTTCTTAGAAATCACTAGAGCAGTTCATGATAAGAAAATTTTTGCATCTTTTAAACAATATGATATTTGTGTGTATGTATCATATGTTTGTTTTATCATAAAACATATGATACATACATACATATATATAAATAAATAAATAAATAAATATATATATATATATATATATATATATATGTGCGTGTATGTATCAATGTTTTATGTGTATGTATGTATATATATGTATATATATATATTCTCATTTTTATATAAAATTTATATATGTTATACATATTATTTAAGTAGAGATCAATATGTGAATTATTTCTATTTTTTTTTTTTTTTTTTTTGTTCAAACATAAAGTAAATATTTATAAAATACAATTATATGGAACTTAATAATACGCATGTAAATAAATATTTCTCTGAAAACTTGATATCTAATCACCGAAACGAATTATTATAATTGACAAGCCTGTACTAAATTAAAAGAATTAGAATATTTCAATTCTATAGGTAAAACTCTCGCATTAAAAATTTCAATTTTTTATGTTCATGATAATTATCCATATTTTAACTATTAAAATATGACAATCAATGATCAAAGCAACCAATCAAAAACATCACGCGTTTAAAATACTAATCGTCATATTTTAAATATAATAGTAAAAACTCAAGTGACATTATAGAAAAGCTGATATTAAGAAAATAATGTATATATAAAATATTTATTTGAAGGAATCAATTTTATGGGCCACTGAAAAATATTACTATTTTACACAAAGGAGAGATATTCATTGTAGAACAGCTGCATTCGCGGCTATACTTGGATTGTTAATAACTTCTCCCAAACTTTCCAGTAATTCTTTCCTATAATCATCAAAATCTCCATCAATTTCATTTATCTGTTGATTTTCAATTACATATAAACAACATTCTGTATCTCTAATTAAACGTTCATCGTGAGAGACGATAATAACTCCTCCCTTGTAATCATTAATAGCTTCAGCTAACGCATCAATTGATTCTATGTCCAAATTATTTGTCGGTTCGTCTAAAATTACAACATCAGGTGCATTTAAACATAATTCAGCTAATGCGACTCGAGCTTTTTGACCTCCCGATAAATCTTTCATTTTAATTGTATGTGCATGAGAACTAAGTCCAAATGTTCCTAATTGTTTCCTAGCTTTCTCATATGGCAAATCGAATAAACGCATGAGATATTCCGACGGTGTTTCTTCAGCTGTTAGATGTTCACCAGAATGCTGGTCAAATTTTCCTATCCTCTAAAAGTAATAAAACAATTTAAATATACAAATTTGTCTTAAATAATAAAATTAATTTTTATTTCTACTTACTAATCTGTGATTTCTTATCAATTCCCCCTTTAAAGGTTGTAAATCACCTATTAATAATTTCAAAAATGTAGATTTACCGACACCATTAGGTCCAACTATGGCTATTCTAGAATTTAAATCAATACCAAAATCAACGTCTATAAATAACAGTTTTTGCCCTTCATAAGCAAAAGTTACATCTGGAATGAAATATGAATTTTCAAAATCATTCAAAGTCATTTTTTACAATATGAAGTTAATATATCAAATATCAATAACATACTATGAAGACCAAGAATTGGTGGTTGTAGTGGAGGTGGATCAGGAAAACTAAATTTCACTATATAATCTCGAGGTTTCTGCAATAATTCCGTAGGTGCATTGTCATCTTCTTGTTTTTGCATTTTTGTTCTATTTTTTTCCTGTTTTCTAGTTAAGACTTCTTTCTGTTTCTTTTCAGCTTGTTTTTTACTTTGCCCAGAAGCTTTCAAATCTTTAAGTCGTTTTTCTTGTTTCTCATATGCTTTAATCATTTCTTTTTTCTTTTGCTCATACATCTTCTTAAACATACTATAATTTCCCTTGTAATAAAATAACTTTTGTTGATCTAAATGAATTATATCTGTACATACATTATCTAAGAAACTCTGATCATGAGAAACGATAAGTAAAGTTTTTTTCCAAGCTTGAAGATAATTGTCTAACCAAATAACAGCATTTAAATCTAAATGATTTGTTGGTTCATCAAGTAACAATAATGTTGGTTCTAAGAAAAGAGCTCTAGCAAGAGAAACACGCATACGCCAACCACCAGAAAAATTTTTTGTTGCACGATCTTGCATGGCACGACTAAATCCTAGACCAGCAAGAATTCTTCTAGCACGTGGTTCTGCAGAATCTGCACCAATAATTTTTAACTCCTCATAAACCTATAAAAAAAATATATTATCATAACACAATGATGAAAATATGTTTATATTTAATAAATTACCTCTTGTAGTCTGTTTTGGACAGAAGTATCTCCTTGTTCTACTAATTCTTCTAATTTTTTGCACTCATCTATTAATTCTTTACATTTTACATCTGCATTAAGTACCACTTCTACAGCTGGTGTATCATCAGCAATAACTTCTTGTTCACAGTATAGAACATCAATATTAGGTGGAATAGCAAAAGCTCGCTTTGCTATATGGCGAAGTAAAGTAGTTTTCCCATGACTAAAATAAATAACAAAGAATTCGTAAGATGTCAAAATAATATTTCAAAAAAATAATATAATACATACCCATTTGGTCCTACCAATCCATAACGTCTGCCTTGTGCAATTAATAAGCTGGCATTGGTAAATAATTCTTTTCCTTTTGCAGCAATACTGAAATTTTCTACCTTAATGTCAACAGCATTTTCTAATTGTTGATTACCACGCTGTAGACTTTGAGTCTGAGAAACAGTGAAATTAGTTTCAAGTTCGCTATGACCCTGACCACCGGTTTTCGTTAACATTTCCATCGTTTTTTCATATTCTTGTTGTTTTTTTAATTTTTTCTTTTCTTTATGAGTCAACTTTTTTCCTACTTCTTCCACTTCCATATCAGATATTTTTTTCGTGACATTTAATATTTTTTTATCGGTTGACATACTGAAATGTGCACCTGGTTAACTAACCTCAATATTGCACACTATCCACACTTACTCGAGATCTAGTATAAGTAGCACAAAAAATACAAAAACACGTGGCGCCATCCAATTCCCCGCATATCTTATAATAGTGCAGTGATTTATAAATATAGATATAACAATAAGAATAATAAGAATAATAAAATTATTATTTTCCACCAAATTTTTTTTTCAATAAAATATTAGAAAGAAAAATTATATTAATTTAAAAAATATAAATGTTATATTCCTTTCTAAACATATGTAACATCATTGATGACACAGATAAAAAAAATACCATTGACTAATAGTCAATGATAATACATATATGACATATTTATAACAATTGAAATAAACGTATTAAATACCATTATAAATGTGTTGAATTTTCACGATATAATAAAACGAGATAATAGTATTATTTAATTTTTTGTGAATATTTTAGTATAAATCATGGCAGAATTACAGGAAATAGAGAAAAAAGGGCGTGCCATTAATGCAAAATTCGTAGCATATATGGAGAAACATCGCTTATATGAATTATTTTACGTAAATAACCTATGTACTATAAATATATCCAATAACATATATGTAAATTAATTTATCAAAGTCTTACTATATATATATAGGAAATAGCAATTCAATTAATGATTGAAAAACCCGAAGATCATGTTGTGTTTATAAAACAATACCTTCGATCTGCTGTTAAGAAGCTTAATATTTCTAACATTATCCTTATTGCACCTACAAGTTTTGGTAGATAAAATTAGATTTCTTGAAATCGCCTATTCTGAAGTTTAGTTGCTCAAATTCAGAAAAAATATTTTTTATAAACAGATAGAATCGCCTTAGCTAAAGTTCTTCAGAAAGAATTGGGGGTACATCCCTTAACCTTGAAAGATCTTCGTAACGTTTGCTCTCAACATGATGTAAGAAAAAGTATTTATACATTTGTTTCATCTTCTCAAAAAATAAATGTTTTTTATTAGGATGGTTGTCACTGCAAAGAATCGCAAGATCTTGCATATGCAATGAGAAAGATTTTAGAAAACGAAGCTACTATTCGTGAAAGTGGATGGATATTAGTTGGTAATATATTCTATACATTCTAACATAATTAAAAAGGATGGTATGCTTAATTATGCTGGTTTGTCACAAAGATTTACCAAGAACAAAAAGAGAAGCACAAATATTCCAACGCACTGGAATAATACCGACGCACGTGATACAACTTATAGTTTCAAATGACACTGGTAAAATTATAAGAAAGAATAGAATTAAAAATATTCTTAAATTCGATAAATTTATATAATTTTTGTTGTTTTAGAGAAGTCGAAAATTTGTACAGATATATTCGCTTATTGTAAAACATGTGAGCCTACAAATACTTCGAAAAATATGAAACATCGTCGTTACTTGAAAAATTTGCGAGACTTGCGGGAAGTATACGGACATTGTTTAATTGTTAGTTACACTTTTAACCTTTAGGAAATCGGCATTTTTTCACAAAAAAATGTGATAGTGATTTTCTTCTTCAAAAAATTCACGTACATATACAATCAACATGTGTATAGAATATGTAGGTTTGTATAAAGCCATTAAAATAATTTTGTTGGTCCAGAGCAATGTAAAATTTTTAATATTTTTAAATTTTACAAGTAAATTATTATAAGGATTTTCTATATCGCTGATTGCAAATGGGATTGTAAAAATGTTTGTTTTACAATAATTTTAGTAACTTAAATGAATAAATAGACAATGTGTCCAGTTTAATTGGAAATACTCACATGTCTCGAAAAATATGAATCATACAAAAAAGTAGTAGTAAGGGCAACTATGTTCTTATATATTTCTGACTTTATACTTTAAATGATTATTAAGTAGTATAACCTTTTCCTATCCTCTAAAAAAAAATTTTTATCTTTATATATTGATGAATAGCGAAAACAAAGTTTTTTTACTTTAAAAATTTTATTTCAAGGAGGTTGAAGTAGGTATTAGGACCATCAATGAACTTGGAAAAGATTGTGCAAAATTAGCAAAAATAAAAAAACATTGTGGAGCACCGTCGCTCTTCCGCATTGCGCTTGTTGGATCTAGAGGATCTGGTTGCACCACATTAGCAAAATACTTGGCCGAACGATTCAACCTCGTTCATAGTAACTTTTATTTACTTCAGTTTCTTTTCATTGTTTAATATGTAATTCTTTATGAATATAAATATTGCTATCTATTTTAGTTGATTACGATCAAATCATGGAACAAGCACGTTTACAACAAAATCCTTTAGGAAAAATGCTTCGGACATTTGAGGACAAATGGGGAGGAAGACCCAAACCTGAACTTAGAATACAAGTCGTTGAAGTATAAAAATACTAATAAAACCAACTAATTTTTGGCATCAATGATTTTGCGCTATAATGTTAATATTTCCAGAAATATATATCTGAATACGAGTGTTTAAAAAGGGGTTGGGTTTTAACTGGTTATCCAAAAACCGTAGAAGATTTTAAATTACTAGACTTAAATCCCACACCTCCAAATAGGTAAATAAGAAAGACAAATATTCAAAGCATTCGTAAAAGTGTTCACAGTATGTAACGTGATAAAAATTTTAGAGTAATATTTGTAGAAGTAAATGGTGACGTCTGTAGGGAAAGACTGCTTAATCGTAGATACAATTTTGTCACTGGAAGCAAGCATATTTTGTCAACAACAAATTATGCCGATAACGATGACTGTAAATTAACTGTACACCCGAGAGATCTCAGGTTAAATGTTGAACGAGATGTAATTATTATAATTAAATCTAATTTTTCTTGTTGTTTCCACAATTTTACAAAATTATAATAATTTCTACAAAATTACAGCTTCAAGAGTATGAAGAAAACGTGACTGATATGATGCGGTATGCAGGCGAATCTGCGATAAAAATCGATGGTAATGAAGAAGAAAGAATCGTTCGAGAACAAATAGAAGCAATTATAATGCGTCCAATTTCATCCTGGCAATCGAGAGTACCAAAACCTCCACCCCTGATTGACCCAATGAATATCGAATTTGATCCTTGTGACGAACCAGATTCTAGCGTGTTCGATAATATACGTGCACCTGAGACGACCTACACTTTTATCTAATTTATAACTCCTATTTTGGTCTTCTATAGGGATAGGAAACGGGATACTCCTAGTACATCCTGTTATCCTGATACACAGAGCATCTTATTTTCGCAACATCACACCATTTGCATGGTGTCATATATGAATTTTCTTAATACATACAATGTTTAGAACTATTTTTATAATTTTTATTATTTGAAGAAAAAATTACTGATATGAATAAATTTCGATACGAAATTTAAGAAATATGGTACTTGTATTTTCTTTCAATAATTTTCACGTTAATAAATTTTAGTGAAGATTTAGGAGTAGGATCGAGGATAACGTAGACTATACGTCAACCTGTTTGGGAATCGCACCACGGATAGTATATCGATATGGAAGTGAACAGAATCTTATCTTGTTAAGAAAATCGTACTGTTGAATATACAGTGTAGTTGAATTAAGGACATCACATGCCTACATTAATGAGAATAATTACCTCAAACGCGAAGCATATTTCCGGATTAAGAACGTATAGGATAGGATAGGTCGCACGCGATTGTAAAATGCAGAACTTGCTACGAACAGATGAAATCCTGCTTGCTTTACCCAGCAGTTAATAAAACCTTTACGTTTCTGAAGAGAAAGTCAAATTACTTGGTGTCTTGCATATTAGGAAAATGTAGTGGATGTGATATTATCGAGTCATTCGTGGATTAATTGCAAGAACAAGCATCACTTTATTGGACATATAATTCAACAAAACATTTTTAATTTATTGTTTATTTCTGCATAAAAAATGGAATTCATAAATAACATTGATCGAAACTTGTATAAATATAAAATTGCAGTTCATTCATCGATCGGAACTTATTTCTGTAAAATGTAGTAAAACTGTGTAGACCCCGGAAGAAAAGAGGAAACGTGGGTTAAGGAAAGTAGAATCAGATGGAGGTAGAATGTAAGGAAATACCGCACAAATGTCAAAAAAAATATTGTAGTATAAAATTATCATTGGAAGTATTGAGATAATTTAATTCTAAACTGAACAAGAATATATCTTCGGAATCTTTGGAATTCTGGAGAGTAACTAATTAATCTTTATTTTCTGTTTTATTGATAACATAAAAATGTCTGTAATGTTTTCTGCAGATTTAGTTGTATGCTGTTAAACAATCTGATTGAATTAACGTAAATATTATATTTTATTAAGTATTTACTACAAGGATGCTGGATAGGATATCCATATGCTTTACATCGTACGTGATATCTTTTATCTTATCATATCAGCAGAATGTAGCGATTGTGTTTACATATATATCTCCAGGAATTTTGCGTTACTCGTCACACTGATAAAAGAAAGCATCTAAAAGGACAAGGATGTATCTCGAGCTATTAGAAATACTTCAAAAGGCGAAATAAGCTCGAGTATCAGGATAGAAGGAAGCACGTGAAACACGGCAAGATGACCTCTGTTTTCGATATGCGTTATCCTACTGGAAAATCTGCAATCCTATACTCCATAGATATGCCGAGTATGCATTGAAAATGAAATGTGTATTACATAATCATCATACCACAGACAAGATCATACATATGCAGAAATATTTTTTTTTTTTGCTAGTATTGCAGATGCATTAGGCTGGCATAACATCGCAACAATCATCTTATTAGGATTATGTCAATTTCCAACTTTCAATAGCCTGAGACATTAGACATATTTTATAATGTATTTACAAAATATCGCTGGATTTTAGTTCCTTTTATTTTTTTCTCGAAATCCTTTCGATTATTATTGGTAGTCTCATTTTTAAAATTAAGATAATCCTTCATTTATTTTCATTCACCGAAAATAAGAAAACACACACACATACATATGTATGTACATATACACATATACATATATACATATAGATATGTACAATGCGTTCGTCAATGTGATGACACGTGTTTATATCTTACAAACATCCAATCGCATCAGGATATCATGCGAACAGGTATTTCGATGTCGAATCGATCCCTTTCAAGCTTCCTGAATTTCCGCAAGTTTCCAAGCATTAAGCACAAGCATTTCGTCGATTAAGAATCCATATAAGATGAAATTTTCTCTCGGCCGATCAAACGAAAGGTTTCTTTTCCGTTCGAGGAAACGTTCGAACAACCTCCGAGACTCATCAATGTCCTGTCACTCGTCAACTGCGTGGCGCCAGAAGCATTCGCACTATCAGGATTTCATAACTTCGAAAAGGGATTCGCACGAATCTCCAGGACCTCGAATCTAGCGATAGATACGTATTCCGCTCCAGTATTCTTACCAGGATGCTAGTAACGATTCACCACCGTGGATGTTGTTCTCGTGTTTACCACAGTTCCTTGGAAAATCAATTACGTTTGTAAGAAAGTATCAAAGAAGTCAGATTCGAAATAAGCAACGAAAAATTTGAATTTGAAAATGAACACCTGCTGTTTTGTACTTTTAAATACTGGAAACCATTAATTAAAAATTTCAGAAAATAACGGCGAAAATGAGACGCAAGATATTGCACTTCTTCTTCGTCTGAATTTATTATTTTTCATTGAACGTGTTTCGTCTTCTGTATATCTTAATTTTGCCTGTGTATCACAGGCAATCATAAAACGAGTCGCGCATGCCGCCGAAAAAAATTCCAGATATTCGGATGGATTTCCGATAACAGACAACACAGCTATATGTACACAGTGTATATAGTATGCTACTATGTGGCCGCTCTCAAATGAAACAAATATTGATTCGATTCAATCAGCGGCTTGCAAAATTGCTTATATCTTGTACCATTAATGCTTACAATATATTACCAATATATTATAAATACATTCTGCATTTTATTGATGAATCAATATAATTCGCATTTTATGCAGGATAGGTCGAGCAATTGGTTCGATATTTATTATATTAAACTGATAAATGCTAAGATGGTTTAAATAAGATTTCTTTCGATTTGACGTTTTCATCGAAGTTATAGACAGATGAATTAAGCATGCACCAAGTTTCACACCAAGATATCAGTTGCAAATTGAAAACACTCGTTTCTATTATTCATGCACTCGCAATTAATCAAACAAGATGATCGATCTTCGACTAAATAACATGTTCGAAACACATTTGCGTCCAGCGAGATACTGTTAGCAGCTCAAAACTATTTGAAACTCATTAGAAACTATTCCAAAAATGTAATCAAAATATTCAATTTTTGTAATATCAAATTCTTTTTTAAGATGCACGAATTTTTGAAATAATCTTTCCGTTTTGTTTCGTTTATTCATAATAATATTGGTAACGCTAGTTGGCTGTTGATCTAATTTTTAAAGAAAATTCGATACATTCAAATACATTTTTACCTTCGCTAAAAAAAAATTGGTAGACGACGTTTCACAAGCACCGATATAGCTAAAAGTATCACCGAGTTATCGTTCAAAAGAAACAATGTTCGCTGCCTCTTAAAACCCGGCAGCCTCTGGGCGTTTAAGTCCTCAAACCGTTCTAATTGAGGTTCCTCCTCGTTACCGCGAAAGAGTTACCGGAAACAATGGCTGGAACAAGTAGATGACAATTGCACGTAGCAAGCAAGCATACTCCCTAACAAAAGCGTGCCTACCAGTCCTCGTTTTGGCTATCTTTCATCGTCTCCTTCTTACTTCTCGTCTCCGCTATTGTTCCCTTGTGCAACGGCAACAAACGTCAGTGTCAGGTAACGAGTAACGAAGCGTCCTTCGTACCTCTCGAGATATCGAGACAGCTACCTCCGGAATACCGGACGAGAGTAAACTTCTAGAAAACAACCGCAACAAGACCACTGAAGATTAAGTTGTTGGAAAACTATAAACGCGAATGCTTTCCGACGTGAAACGATCATGTAACATGCTCATTGGCCATTTAATTCCTAGAATTTTCTCTATCGTTCCAGCTTTTACGAGAGTATACATGAAATAATAAATTTAAAAACGAGTATAGTTACGTAGGTACAGAAAGAAATGTCTGAAAAATATTCGTTTCACATGATTTATTTTAACGGCGATAATTTATCTTATAATCTCGGTTAGTGAAATTTTTATTAATACTTTGTTATTAATAATAATGGAATGTAAGTACTCAAACGGTTTTCAATTATTTCTATTCACCTCCTAAATTTCAAAGTTCGATAGCTACTTCCGACATTTATTGATAATATCGCGACAGTTTATAGACAGCGCTTGTAATGCGATTGCGACACAGTATCGGCGCAATTACCGGCGAACACCTGTAATTATTTTAATTATTGCCACGAATCGATCAAGCATCGAAAGTCTGGCCGACGAGTTTCGCTTTACGAAACTAATTTAATTAGTAACCTTAAGCACGATGCACACGATTGCGGATAATAGGACGGGGAGGGGAGGGACGTGGCAAGAAAGGATACGGAGGTCAGACGATAAGGCCATTAACAGTACAATTAGCCGTGCGCTGGAATTTTTAAAAGAGAAACGAGCCCCGTGCAAAGGTTTTTACCTAATTTCGCGAGAAAGGGTGAAAGAACGAAGAAAATGGGAAATCCTCGGGTCGAACGCGGCAGAGACAGAAGAGCTCCGCGGAGTTGTACGGAAGAAAAGAAAAAAAAAAAACGAGCCGAAGCTGACTACGCGGCGAGTTACTCGCCTCTCATTTTGCTCGAGTGCTCTCGCGAACAAGGAAACATTTCAATTAATTACTGCGTAATTAAAATATGAAAAAGTAGTCATTAGCCCGCGTTTCCACGTCGGTTACTTGGACAACTTTCCTGCTCGTCGTTCCCCCTTTCCCTGGCCCGATCTTTCCTTTCGTTCTCCGCGGCATCCATTCGGCAAGAATCGCTTCATCTTCCTTCCGACACGTTTATTTCTCTCGTCTTTCGTCACTCTCTTTCTTTTCCCACCCATTCCGCAACATTCCTGACTTTCAGATATTTCATTTCCCAGTTTTATTTTCCCGGCATAGATATGTAATTCGTGGACGCGTACGTGCGAGTGTCGCGCTCTCGTCCTCACGGGCATTAATTATGCACGTGTCAGGTAACCTCCGAGTGGTTAAGCCGGGTAAGCAGCTTGCTAGACAT